TAAGCTAAACTCAGCCTGTTTGTCTTTACTTTTAAGCCCCATGTAGTCTGGTATTTAAGCTCAGTGATCATAGGTGACTTTGGAATGGTTAACTTCAATAAACAGTTTTTATTGCTTGTTTTCCCTAACCTACTCTATTAGGTGAATCTGATACGTGACTATCTCCTTTTTCTCAGTTGTCTTTTCTTCTTCTTTTTTTAATGTGATTTCTCTCTCTGGGTTATCTTTCCATTTCTCTGGTGACTCTTTTCCTTAGAGGATTGTTTTGATCATCGTTTGAATAAGAGTTTTCCTAAGATTCCCAGATTTGACTTTTCATAAACTTTTTGCTTTTCTTAGTGGGCTGGAGGTAGTGTGCTGACCTAAGGTTGTCAGCTTTTTATTTTGGAAGGTAAAAACTGCCACTTATCACCATTATTTCGTAAAAGAAGATATATTTCAGCTCCAAGAACGTGAAAAGGATATGCTCTCAAAATACAGAATGGTCTATAAAGTGATTAACTTAAAGCTCAATGTAATTTTAGCTTATTAAAGCTCAATATATCCTTGCTTTTCTTACTTTGTTATAGATTGACCCTGGTCTGTGGACCTAATTACATTTGAGAACTGCTGACTTAAAACAGTAAGATTTTTGAGCTAGTTCAAGGGGAAAGGAGTGTGGGTAGTTCTGTGAAAAAACTGCCAAGTGTATCTTAACATACGAAGGGCTTCAAAGTAATCCTTCATGAAAAAGCCTCCTACTTTTACTTCATATGACTTTTCATATAGTGGCTATTAATCTTCTGTAGAACTGTTAATCCAGAACTGTTACTTCCTTTGGGAAACACTGCTGTGAATGTTGATGTTACCAAGAGTATTTCTTAACTTTAATAATTTTCAAATATTCATCAAAATATTGCTTGCTGAGAGTATAAAACATCAAATAGTTATAAAATTAAAAAATTTTTAACTGAAAATATGTAGTTTGTCTGTTCCTGCTACTTTTCTTAGAGGCAACCATTTTTGACTTTTAGCTATTTCTTCTTTTTATTCTTTTCCCCAAAGGTACAGTTTATTAGTTTCAACAGAACAAAAAGTCACAAAACAAACCGAACAGAGTGAGGTAGGTTTTTAACGTGGATTAGATGGCAGGTTCCTTGCTTTCATCAGGGCACAGGTGTTACAGGTCTCCATTTTTGATGGAAGGTTTCAGACAAATGGTCACATCTGCCTTTGCACAGACAAGTTTAGGAAAACTAGTGAGAGCAGCTAGTTTTAAAGTTTAATCTGCCAAGGTGGAAGTGTCTAGTTTCACTCAAATTCTTTTCTCACTATATGGTTGACTTTTTGGCAATGTGGGCTTTCCAGGTGATGCTGGTAGTAAAGAACCTGTCTGCCAGTGCAGGAGACGTTAGAGACATGGTTGCATCCCTGGGTAGGGAAGATTGCCCAGAATAGGAAATGGGCGCCCGCCCCAGAAGTGACTGAGCACAAACACATCTGCAGTAAAGAGATAAGTTTTTTTGTTTTCATCCTAAATTTAACAGTCAACCTCCATGCATTCAGAACTGATAAACAGAGTTTTGTGATGTGAGGATTATTCAGAAGCTTCATGATCTGAACCTCTCGATGTATTTTCTCCAGATGGCTTGAATCTAATCATGTTTTGTCAATTATTTTTATTGCATCCTGCGTTTTGGTGACTCGATGTCGGCTAGCTTCACCACCAAGAAATTGCCCTTGCCTAGGGTCTGCTTGATGTTGTAGAAACCCACCTGGAAGAGCTTCTGCTGGCCCTGGCCCCAAGCCCGTGGGGTCCATGCCTCACCTCCACTATGGCTCTGGGCCATACTCATGGTGGTGGCTGGGACACCTCTAGCCCTGTGACCCCCCGGCACACGCCACCGCTGCCCGCATGCTGCTTGTTAGCGCTCCTGTTTCTTCTTTATATTGCTGAAGAAAACATAGCTGTGTGTTGATTCATCAATTTGAGGCATTTTCTTCCTGTGATGTTAAATGAAAATTTTTTCTCATTTAGTCTTTTCCAACATTCTTTCAATATGGTTATACAAAAAATTTCAAACTCCATTTCCTTTGTAGGATTTTATAAAAATAGTTTACATATGAGCCACATAGAGTATGATGTTGCAAAGTAATCATGAGGCTTCAGAGATGCAGAGATACATACATGCAGAGATCTTAGAACAATGTCAGAAATTTGTTAGATATTTTTAGCTCTTATCTCTAGAATTCTTTTATACAACTGTATTTCAAAGTTATCTCACTAAAAATTAAAATTTGCTTAGTTTTCTTTGAACATTGAAATATTCAGTCATCTTTCCACAGTTTGTAAAATGTCTTGGAGTGTACTTTTCAAAATCTGTTGTATAACTTAATCAGTCATGTTTGTTTTTCTTGAAATATCCTCCTGGAGCTCTTCTGGAGTTCTGCTCTAATCTGTACTCGTAGCTCTCTAAAGAATGTCTTGGGGCTTGCCTGCACCATCATTCCTTTGCCTGTCTGCTGTGTTGACTCCTTTGTATCCTGTGTCTTCCTTTTATTTGGTTTGCTCCCGCTCTTTGGTATCTTCTGTAAGGGTCAGAGAAAGTGTGTTTGGGGATAAGTCTTTACAGACTTCATAGGCCTGAAAATACTCTTGTACTACCTTCATTCTTTTTTTGAATTGAAGACAAGAGGCATGTGGGATCTTTGTTCCCCAACCAGGGATGCAGCCCACAGGCCCTGCAGTGGAAGGGCAGAGTCTTAACCACTACACCACCAGGGAAGTCTGTACCTTCACTCTTGATCGATAATTTGGCTTATTATGAAGTTGACTTTCACCCTATTTATTTTTCATTTAGAATTTTAAATGAGTACTTTCACTGTCTTTTAGTGTTTCATGTTGCTGTAATGATACCCAGGTGGCTCAGTGGTTAAGCATCCAACTGCCAATGATAGTTTTATTTTTAGTCTTTTAAGAAACCTACATTCTGTTTTCCATAGTAGTTGTATCAATTTACATTCCCACCAGTAGTGCAGGAGGGTTTCCTTTTCTCCATACCCTCTTTAGCATTTATTGTTTGTAGAGTTTTTGATGATGACCATTCTGACAAGTGTGAGTTAATGTCTCATTGTAGTTTTTATTTGCATTTCTGTAATAATGAGTGATGTTGAGTATCTTTTCACGTGTTTGTTGGCAATCTGTATGTCATCTTTGGAAAAATGTTAGGTCTTTCACCCGTTTTTTGCTTGTTTGTTTTTTGATACTGAGCCTGCTTGAGCTGCTTGTGTATTTTGAAAATTGACCCTTTATTAGTTGCTTCATTTGCAAGTATTTTCTCCCATTCTGAGTGTTGTCTTTTCATCTTATTTATGATTTCTTTTGCTGTGTAAAAGCTTTTAAGTTTAATTAGGTCCCATTTGTTTATTTTTGTTTTATTTCCATTACTCTGAGAAGTGGGTCAAAGAGGTTAGCGTTTGTCAGATGCTTTTTCTGCATCTGTTGAGGTGATCATATGGTTTTTATTCTTCATTTTGTTAATATTGTATATCAGATTGACTGATTTATGAATGTTATACCATCCTTGCATCTCTGGATGATCCCACTTGATTATGGTGTGTGATTTTTTAATATTTTGTTGAACTCAGTTTGCTACTATTTTGTTGAGTATTTTTTGCATCTTTCTTTATCAGGGATATTGATTTGTGGTTTTCTTTTCTTTTGAATCTTTGGTTTTGGACTCAGGCTAATGCTGGTTTCATAAAATGAATTTGGAATTGTTCTCTTGCCTTCTGTTTTTTGAAGGAGTTTGAGATGAATTGGTATTAATTCTTCATCGAATGCTCTGTAGAATTTAGCAATGAAGCCATTTGATTCTGGATTTTTGTTTGTTAGAAGTTTGTTTAAAAATTAATGGTTCCATCTCCTTACTTCAGTCTGTTCAAATTTTCTCTTTCTTCATGATTCATTTTTGGCAGGTTGTATATTTCTAGGAATTTATTTGTTTTCTTCTGTGTTGTCCTTCTTGTTGGTGTATAATTGTTCATTGTAGTCTCATGATTCTTTGTGTTTCTGTTGTATCAGTTGTAACATCTCCACTTTCATTTCTGATTTTATTGATTTCTCTTTTTCTTGGTAACTAGCTAAAGAGTTGTCTATTTTATCTTTTCAAAGAACCATGTCTTAGGTTTCATATACCATATCTATTGTCTTTTTAGTCTCTATTCTATTTCTGCTCTGACCTTTGTTATTATCTATTTCTGCTTTGACCTTTCTTTCCGCTAACTCTGGCCCTTGTTCTTCTTTTTCTAGATCATTGAGGTGTAAAGTTAGGTTGCTTACTAGAGATTTTTCTTGTTTCCTGACATAGGCCTGTATTACTATGGAATTCCTTCTTAGAATTGCTTTTGCTGCATCCCATATGTTTTGGTATGTTCTTTTTCCATTTTCATTTGTCTTAAGATATTTTTTAATGTCTCTTTTGATTTTTCTTTGAATTGTTGGTTGGTCGGTAGTATGTTGTTTAATCATGTATTTTCCAGTTTTTTTTTTCTTAAAATCTATTTCTAGTTTCATACCATTGTAGTGGGAAAAGACTGTAATAAAAGACACAGAAGGGCATTACATAATGGTAAAGGGATCAATACAACAAGAGGATATAATGTTTGTAAATACTTATGCACCCAAATAGGATCACTTAAAAGTTTAAACAAATATTAAGAGACCTAAAGGGAGAAATACACAGAAGTACAATAATGATAGGGGACTTTAATATTCCCTTTTCATCAGTGGATAGATCATGCTGACAGAACCTCAAAAGGGAAACATTGACCTTAAATGATCCAAGTGGATTTTCACAGGTACATACAGAACATTCCATCCAAAAGGAATAGAATATACTTACTTCTATTCCATCATGTGTTTCATGTGTACATGGAGTATTCTCCAAGATACATTATATGTTAGGCTACAAAATAAGTCTTACTGTTTTTCTTTTCTATTGTAGATATTTTTTTTTTTATTTTTATTTTTGGTATATGAAAATTTATTACTATCGTGCTTTCATCATCAAAATTTATGATCTTGGTCTTTCCTTCTTGCCTTTGTATAAAGCCAAAAGAGAGACATTGGCTACTTTGACAACCTTAAAGCGGACTCCAGGAATGTCACCAACAGCATGACCTTTGCGACCAAATCCAGCAACCAGAACTTCATCATTTTCCTCAATAAAATTCAAGCAACCATCATTGGGTACAAAAGCAGTGATTTTTTTTGCCATTCTTGATTAGCTGAACCCTGACACACTTCCTGATGGCAGAATTTGGCTGTTTGGCTTCAACTCCTACTTTTTCCAGCACAATTCCCTTGGCGTGAGAGGCGCCGCCAAAAGGGTTGGCCTTCAGGGCTGTGCCCAAATGGGCCTTTTTGTACTGTTTATCATGCCACTTCTGGTCTCGTCGGTGGCTACGGAGCTTCCTGGCAGTACGAAGACCGCGACACTTGCCCATCCTGCCAGCACCACGGGCCTGAGCGAAAGAGCTATTGTAGATATTTTAAAACATGACTTATCTAAGTAGTGCATTAGCCACATCTGAAAAGTTCTAATATATGATATTTTTATGATTGTTCAACTCAAATTACTTGATAATTTCCATTGTGGTTGCTTCTTTGGCCCATGGGTTATTTTAGAAGTATATGTCTTAAGTTTTTAAAATTTTAATTTACATTCTTACTGCTTTCTAGTTTTAAACCATTGAAGTCAGAGAACATAAGCCATATGATTTTTATAGCTTGAAATTTGTTGAGACTTGTTTTATGTCTTAGTATATGGTCAGTGTTTATAAATACTTTGTCTAATAGACGTCTGTTCTTTGATGAAACAGATAATTTAACGTTGCTACTGTTTTCCTCCTAATTTCCCTTGTATTATCCTCCCATTCTCTCAAGTTGAAAACCTGGGAATTCTAAATTTCTGGTTTGCTTTTAATACCACATTGGGTTGATTCTTGATATCTGTCCAGTATACTCTTAAAATTATTTAATATCATTACTAAAATAAAAACACTGGAAAGCCTAAAGTATATAAACTCAGTTACTCAAAGCCCTGCTACACATGACTCAAATTCTTGTTATTTTCTTGTTCATAGATTATTGTGGATTTATTACAGTTCCCATCTTTTCTCTCCTTTGATAGCATATATTTATTTGTATGTTTATTGATTCAGCCAGTATTGAGAACCTGTTATGTGCTAGGTACGAGGTATATATAGGCCTCCCGAGTGGCTCAGTGGTAAAGAATCCACCTACCAATACAGGAGACACAGGTTCAGTTCCTGGGTCAGGAAAATCCACTGGAGAAGGAAATGGCAACCCACTCCAGTATTGTTGCCTGAAAAATCCCATGGACAGAGGAGCCTGGCAGGTTACTGTCCATGGGGTTACAAAGAGTCCAACGCGACTGAGCACACACACATGCCTTATATGCATTTTTCATTTGGCCAATGTTATTTTTTGTGACTTTCCGTCTGAGTTTTGTACCTGGAAAATTGTGTATTGTCGTGGAACTTTGTGCCTTTGCATATGTTCCTTAGGCTTACAAAGCCCTTTCTAAAGTTCATCTGGGAAACTACTGCTCATGTTTCAGGTTAATTAGCTGAGTGTTGATGAAGTCTTGACTGACTTTGTCTCTTGCCCCTAGATAGATTAGAAATTCTTTTTGAGTGTATTTATTATAAGAAATGTTTTTTCGTGCCCTTTTGTTTCCCCATTTGGGCTGTGGTTCCTTGGTGTTATGTTATATATTTGTTTCTGTTAGCACCTAGCGTAGTACCTGGGATGTAGCAGATATTTAACAGGTAGAATCATCATATTTGCCTTAACTTCCATTTGGCCTCTTCTTCAAAATGGTTTGGGGAATGGACTGTTTTTGTTGCTTAAATTGTCTGGTTAATTAAAAAGTATATTTGTTCTGAGATACCAGTTTTCAGCTATTAACAGCTTAGGAGACAACAGTGTACTGAGTTAGTTGTTTATAGTAAGGGTGTATTCTGGGACTACACTGGCATTCAAGTGGTTAAGACTATGCTTCCAATGTAGGAAGTGCAGGTTTGATCCTTGGTCAGGGAACTAAGATCTCATATGCCATGCAGTATGTCCCCTGCCCCCCAAAGAAAGCCATATACATATTTAATACATAAAATATGTATTATTTTATACATAATCCACTATGAATGGGAATTAGGATTCCAAGTTGTCTAGTCTATAGTTTGTCATATAACTTATTTGCAGTGTTCCTAATACTTACTACCCACTGCAATGGTTTCAAAATTTAAACCTGTGCTCTTATTGAGTGTGTTTCTTCTCAGTGTTACCCAGCTGTAGGACTGAGGTATCTGCTGATTCTGAGCCTCTAGTCGTAACCCTGACCAGCTGTCCCAGCAAGGTGAGGGTTGAGAGGAAAACATCTACAGTTGTTAGAAGTAAGATGTTCGTATCTTAAACAGGTGGACAGTGGCCACCCACCCATACCCAGTTGTCTAGCTCTTCAGGTAAATAACGTGGAGGGGGGTTCTGAAGAATGACCTTCATTCTTTGGCTTTTCAACCTAAGTTTTGCCTTCCCAGCTAATAACCCTAAAGCATATCTCATCACTCTAAGTTCTGTATCAGAAGAATTCACATGCAAGTTCTTATAACTTCAGTCTTAAATATCAGTGAACAAGGAGAAGTTCATTGAAAGCCTGTTGCATGAAAGGAGAGCCCAAGATAAACAGAAGAAATGATACCTGAATAAGTAGATAATAGAAAGGGTTTACTGAGAAGTGAGCAAGTATGAAAAGAAGAGCCTCCCATCTAGACACATCCTTATGAATTTTGAAGACATCAATGATAAAGGAAGATCCTAAAAACTTCCTGAGAGGAAAAAAGCACTAACCTACCAGGGAGGAAAAATCAGAGTGACATCACTCTGATTTTCATTGTCAGTGCTGAGTGCTGAATGTAGTTTAGGAGTTCTGTCAGACTTCTGAGAGAATTATTTTCAACATAAAATTCTGTATCTAGGACTGAATAGTTTTAGATACATAAAGATTCAGAAACTTTACATGCACACATCCTTTTATTGCAAGCCACTGGTTCAACAAAAGAATATGTGATCCAGAAAATAAAGTGATAAGGGAAGCTTCAGAGAAGATGGGGCCTAGAAGATTATTAATGCAGATTGGCTCAGGAATGAGGAGAACTCTAGTAGTAAGATTTACATGTGGAAAAAAAAAATTGACAGTTTGAACTAAGGAGACACTAAACTAGCATATTAATAAGCAATTTTAGGAAAAATAAAAAGTGAATAAGAAAGAATGTGTAATAAATGTATGCCATTTAGCTTTATACAAAAACACTTCATTGATTTCTTGAAAATAGTCCAGTAAGATTTGTAGAGGAAGGGGTTTGGTGATTATTGTTTTTATAATAAATAGTTAAGATCTGAAATTGATCAATTAAGAAAGAGAAATATAAGCACATTATTTAGAAATATGGTGACACCTCCCAAGAGAAATGGCTGAAAGCATCAGCCTCTGGCGAGCAGGACTGAAATATGGGAAGGGATTGGTGGGGAACTACTGCATTTCATTTTAATCCTTTCTGTAATACTTGATTTTAAAAATGTAATCATTATTTTGTCTTCATTGTTTCTAAAACTAAGCATTTGAGTAGAGCAGCCATAAAGCTGCCTGCTTTTGTTGTCTGTCCTCTAGGTCCAACCCTGGTTCCCTTAGATGTTCTACATTCAGTGAAACCATAGCCAGTCAGAAGGCAGCCAGCCTCAAGCTTCATTTTACTATATTTGCCTCAAAAGAGAATTTCTTACCTGTTGCTTTAATGCAGGGTGAAGGTTCTGTAGATTGTCTTCTACTTCCCTTGTATCTGGGCTCTGCTTTGGCCCTGCTTGAATTTGACTGTATCTTTGTGAAAGGTCCCATCAAAAGTGGCATCATTGTTAGGTTACGTTAATACTCTTCACATGCGATTATATCCCAAACACATGCTGCTTTTCCCAGGGAAGGGAAGAAGTTGTAGGAAAGAGCCTGGGCAAGACAGCAACTTTTACTCTTTAAGATGAGATGGGATTGATCAGGACCTGAGATGCTTGGGGTTAAGGTAGCAGCAGAATAGGTTTTTTTTTCTTCCCTTTCTCCTTTAGCAGTGCTAGTCATTTCTTGCTATTGCATACCCTTTTGAGTTTCTGGGTTGAGGTGAGGAAGAGGTGGTATGTGCTCCAGTGGGAGGTCACAGTAGTGAATTAGGACTAGGTTTTTCTTCCCTTCCTTTCTTTGATGCCAAGTGATACTTCATGGGTTGAAGATTAGTGGCAGAGGTACTTGAGACATGGTTGTAGTGAATCTGTCTGGGCTTATTACAGAAGAGTAGGGAAACCTTAAGCAGTGCAATAGAGGGACAGAAGTTCCTACTAGGGAGGTGAGTCTTTTGTTTGGCTCTTAGACTGCTTTTAATTAAATTAACAGTTCCTGCTGATAATTTATTGATTGTTGTGTTTTTTCTGCATTCTGAGCACTGTGCTGTGTACCTAGGAAGTAATGGTACACAACACTGGGACAGTCTTTTTCCCTCTCGGAGAAGGGTTGAGAAGTAAAGACAAATTAGTGCTCTGCTGTGCAAATGGAGCACAGCGTGGAAAGTACAGTGATTGGAGAGCTATATATAGTATACTAAGAAAGCATGTAACCTGAACTTGGTGGCTGGGCTTGAATCAGCCCTCAGAACTAAGAACTTAAGTTTTCATTCCAATCCCAAGGAAGGGCAATGCCAAGAATGTTCAAACTACTGTACAATTGCACTCATCTCACATGCTAGCCAAGTAATGCTGAAAATTCTCCAAGCCAGTCTTCAACAGTACGTGAACCATGAACTTTCAGATGTTCAAGTTGGATTTAGAAAAGGCAGAGGAACCAGAGATCAAATTGCTCTGTTGGATCATAGAAAAAGCAAGAGAATTCCAGAAAAACATCTGTTTTATTGACTACGTCAAAGCCTTTGACTGTGTAGATCACAGCAACTGTGGAAAATTCTTAATAGATGGGAATACCAGACCTGCCTCCTGAGAAATCTGTATGCAGGTCAGGAAGCAACAGTTAGAATTGGACTGTTTCCAAATTGGGAAAGGAGTACGTCAAGGCTGTATACTGTCACTCTGCTTATTTAACTTATATGCAAAGTACATCATGTGAAATGCCAGGCTGGATGAAGCACAAGCTGAAGTCAAGATTGCTGGGAGAAACATTGATAACTTCAGATACGCAGATGACACCACCCTTATGGCAGAAAGTGAAGAGGAACTGATGAGACTCTTGATGAAAATGAAAGAGAAGGGTGAAAAAACTGACTTAAAACTCAACATTGAAAAAACTAAGATCATGACATCTGATGCTGTCACTTCAAGGCAAATAGATGGGGAAACAGTGGAGACAGTGACAGACTTTCTTTTCTTGGGCTTCAACATCACTGCAGATGGTGACTGCAGCCATGAAATTAAAAGAC